TGTGGTTTTTATGGCTGGGGGTTGGTCGGAATGATGATGAAGGAAAGGAGAAAGAATGGAAGTGTGTTCTTGGTCCTTTGGGATGTAGGAACAAGAAGCTCTGATACCAAATGTTATACCCGAACCGGGGGTCTTAACGAGTTGTTATTTTGAGAAGGAATTAAGGGATGATGCAGCTTGAGTTCAGGGTTCAGGAGCAGATGATAATCGATTATGGCCAGGTGATAATCGATTGTGGAGCTGTGCTGCTAAAACCCAGGAACTTCAGGGAAAGCAAATAGTCGATTATCGGCATATGATAATCGATTATTGAGGCTCGCAGCTTATTCCAAGGGAATTCAGGAGGAGAAGATAGTCGACTGACAAAGAGTGATAATCGACTGTTAGAGACTGCAGGATTTCAAGAGGAAGTGATAATCGATTGTCTAAAGTGGACAGTCGATTATTGAGGGCTGCAGGTGTTTCAACGATGATGGATAATCGATTGTCAATCAAGATAATCGATTGTTGGGCAGAATTCTGGGAGGGAAAAAGGGTGTTTTGTGGGGAAATGGCTTGGAAATATATGGAGATGATAAAGGAGTTCTTTTGGGTGTTTTTAATGGGAGAAAAGAGTGAGACTAAGAGGAGAAATGGGGAGGAATGAAATGGGAGAAAAATCAGGGATGGATAAACCAAGTTGGTGTTTAAGAGATATTACACACTCTTATCCTCACTTGGGGTTTGAATCTAGAATTTAATTAAGATATGACACACTTAATCAAATATCTAGAACCTAAAACTCACACTTAAGATAACCACTCTTAAGATATAGAATTAGGAATTTGGCTAAAATAGCATCACACTATGTTATAAATACTCAAAGAGTAAAAGGAGTTTTAATATTCAAAGTTATGTTTACAATGGCCATAGGTCCTGATTATATAGGGAGAGGGGAAGGGGGAAAGACAAAATACATTGGATGTAGACATGAGGAAGCTTCCTAGCAACATCCACCTCCAAACATGGGGTAATCTTTCTTCAATCCTGTCTCCTTGGTGGTCTTAAAAATCAGAGATGAGGCTGGGTTTGTGGGGGTTTTGAGCTTTGGTTTGTAGTGGTTGTTTTCTGGGTTTTAAGGCTATTATTTGGGTAAATCTGAGGGGTTGTGTTTGCTGAGAAAAGGGGGCAGGGGTGGGGGCTATAATGGGTGGTTTTGGACTTATAGGTTTGGGTTATTTGTGAGGGAATATGGGCAGGAATGAGTGGCTAGTGGTGGGTCAGGGTTTTGGCTCTTTGTGGGTGTTTATGTTGGGATTGTGAAGTATATTTTGGCCAGGGGTGAATGGAATAGAGGGTGGGTTTTATTTGTTGAATAAAAGGCTTAAAAGAAGGAAAATAACAACAAACAAAAGGTTTTATTTTACACAACCTTATTTTTGGCCATGGGCTAAAATAAGTGTAGGAAAACTTTATTTTGAAAGGAATTAAATGGAAAGGAGTTTTGGATGTTTAGGGTGGGGTTTGGCGGAGTGGGAGTTGGTTGGCAGAACCCTTAGGTCCGAAGTTATTTTTGGCCTCTCGGGTTGAAGGACTTCGAATTCTTACTAAAATGGATCATAATGTTTGAACCTAAGTCCTTCAGTTTTTATGATGGTGTATGATAGGGCCAGGCCCGGATATAACATAGAAGCAGTTTGTTGTAGATAGAGAGCCAGAGGGGTAAATGTAGAGGACTCTTGATTATTTTATTTAGCATTGCAATTATTTTTTATTTAGCATTTAACTTCTTTTAGATATTATAGAAGGTTTTGGGAACTGATAAATGAGAGAAGAATTTGAAGAGGGGATTATTTCCTAGAACCAATTTGGATTTATGCCTAAGACATTTACTGTAGAGGTCATCCACCATATCATTAGCATATATAGAGAGATTATCATGAACACACTACCGTGATATAATGAGAGAATCATGAACACATTAATCAGAAACTGACATAAGTTTTTGGGACACTGACCATTGTTGGCTCTCCTGATTCTATTTTGGCAAAGTATCAACCTAATGTGAGGTTCATTGTTACAGAGGAATTAGAGAGATAGTTACAAAGTGCTTAGAATATATTAGTTATGACAGTTTTTGTGGTCTAGATGTATTTGGCAATATAATGCCATTCTCTGTACGTTTTAAGATAGAGAAATGAATAACAGATATCTTTCCACAAAGAAAAATAAAACCTATAAAAATTGGTGAATTTTTAACCCATGATTCAAGTTTTTGTGTATTTCAAGATTCATATACACAATTTGTTTTATTATTTATTAATATGTTGTATCATTTTGTCTCAGCCTTTTCAGATCAGTGCCATAGAACCAAGGACCACTGACAATGAAGGTTTCAGGAAAAGGATTGACAACTGCTCCGCTCCTTAGTCCTTACTCTAATGAGTAAGCAATTTAATACCTCTCGCATGATTGTTTCAATGATGTATTCAATCAAGAAAGATACGCCGTAATAAGATAAGATTAGGTTACATGATTGGTCTGTGAAGGAACATCAAGAAAGAGGATCAGACTTGATAAGTTCAGGCTATGCGAGTCGTCTATCTTCACAACTGGAAATGCGCTCCGAAGGGCCAAAATGTTGAAATCAATGAAGGAGATAGAATGAAGCCTACAGAGTTCATTCCATTCGGAAGTCTACCACTGAAGACTTCACAAAGAAATCCGGACTTAGACAGTGCTGAGCCTACCGGAAATCATAGCCAGCATTCCAATATACCGGATCACTCAAATGGCGACATTTCTGGAAGTGGCGACCTAGTGCCAATCCATCCGGAATCACCAACAAACTCTATTCTTCAACCAGAAGCTGAACTAGATCAACCAGTCAACCCTAATCAACACAATCTTTGTTGGTTAAGGGATCATCCTCCTCAACAAGTTATTGGAGATATTCAGTCAGGCGTTCGCACAAGGAGTGCTCAACAGAATCTAGAAGCCATGCTTGCTTGTTTCATTTCACAAGTGGAACCGAAGAGTATTGAAGAGGCTCTTGCTGATTCTGACTGGATCAATGCAATGCAAGAAGAACTCAACCAATTTACCAGAAATGACGTCTGGAAACTTGTTCCCAGACCTACTCATCAACATGTCATTGGGACAAAGTGGGTCTTCCGGAACAAGATGGATGAAAACGGCGTTGTTGTCAGAAACAAAGCCCGGTTGGTTGCTCAAGGTTATTGTCAAGAAGAAGATATAGATTTTGATGAAACCTTCGCTCCAGTTGCTAGACTTGAAGCTATAAGGCTGTTTCTAGCCTTTGCTGCTCATAAGGACTTCAAAGTCTATTAAATGGATGTCAAAAGCGCATTTCTCAACGGAAACCTAGAGGAAGAAGTTTATGTGGAACAACCTCCAGGATTTGAGTTACACACTAAGGGAGATCAAGTGTATAGACTCAAAAAGGCGCTATATGGACTCAAACAAGCACCAAGAGCTTGGTATAATACATTGTCTCAATTCCTTATAGACAATGTGTTATATCTCAGCTCCGGGTTTGACGGTATTAAGTTCAAACTCAAGAAACAAAGCCTTTTGTTTTCAGGATAAGAGGATAATCGATTGTCTATCTTAGATAATCGATTGTCAGATGGTGCAATTTCTTGGATTTTCAGGAGGGATTGATAGTCGATTATTGGTATGGTGATAATCGATTATTTAGGGCTGCAGATTTCTGGGGAAGAATGATAGTCGATTATCTGGAAAGGATAATCGATTATTGATCCCTGCGGGTGTTTCAAAAGAGGACTGATAATCGATTGTTATCAATGATAATCGATTATTTTGACAGATTTCTGGGAACGAAATGATGGTGTTTGTGTGGGGAATGGCTGGAAAAATACGGGGATGATGAAGGAGTTCTTTTGGGTATTTTCAATGGAAGAAAAGAGTAAGATTAAGAGGAGAAATGGGGAGGTATGAAATGGGAGAAAATCAGGGATGGATAAACCAAGTTGGTGTTTAAGAGATATTACACACTCTTATCCTAACTTGGGGTTTGAATCTAGAATTTAATTAAGATATGACACACTTAATCAAATATCTAGAACCTAAAACTCACACTTAAGATAACCACTCTTAAGATATAGAATTAGGAATTTGGCTAAAATAGCATCACACTATTTTAATAATACTCAAAGAGTAAATGGTTTTCAATATTCAAAGATTGTTTTACAATGGCCATAAGGCCTGAGTTATATAGGCAGGGGAAGGGGG